ATGAAGTATTTGATGACCCAACTTTACAAGATTGGTACTATTACGCGTACTACGCTGTAGTTTGCACTAAAAAAGGTCTACTTTTCTAAGTACTTCTCGGAAGTAATAATTTTGCCAATGAATCAATGATAATTATAGTATATTTTAAAGTCAAGTAGCAAAATTAATTCAGTGACATATTTTGGAATACAATTTTCTAGCTTTCTCTATACTTACGTCGCGTTCTCATATATACTTTCAATTGTATTATTAAGAAAGATTAACTGAACGGCGGTTTCACAATGTACAGTAAATGATTACTTGTAAAGGAATTTACACTAAAGAAAATCCGAACCAACGAAACGTTTGTGAATGATATGGATTATTAACCGATAACGAAGTCTATGCACACCAATCTTCCATGTCGGCTCATTAGCATGTTTCAATTTTTATTTCATCGCTTTCTTAATTTTAATAAATGTTCTCTTATTGTAAATCTTCTAGACCGCTTATAACTAGGGCCCGGATGTTCGGGCGCGAACATTTCAGCGAGCGTTCGACTCACTAGCACGCAGTGGTGCTCCGCGTGCAACCCGGGATCGCGCCGAACATCCGGGCCCTAGTTATAAGCGGTCTAGAAAATTTACAATTTACAATTTCTTGTAAAAAGACTGTTGGTGTTTGACGGATAGTTTAACTTTTTTTTGCGGATAGATCTTACGAATTTTACGTGGAATCACAGTATACATTAAGTTCGCTTTCCGTTACAAAGATTGTTCTTCTTTGTATCGGATATTACGGATACATTCTAGTGTAAAATTGACAAAAAATCGATTTTTTTTGCATATTTCGATTGTACAACATTTCAACAATACACTAAAAATACAAAATTTCGGAAAGAAATTCGAAGAATTAACGATTCTACAGCTTAACATTTTTTTTACAGCCAAATGTTTAAAAAAGTTAGAGGCTTACTTTATGGACCAAGAATCCCTGATTACCGGTAGTTTAATTATTATTTTATTTTCAAAAAAATCTGTAAAAACCTTTAAACGCTTTTTTCTCGAAATGCTGTTTTTTAAGCGATTGACACGATTTCGGAAAAAATAACCGACCGATTTAAAAAATTTTTGCAGCGTTGTATTCGTAGATTGACTAGCTATCGAGTAAGCTATAGAATAAACTGGTTTAATTAAAAAATAAAGTTTTATTCAACTTTTTTTGAGCGGAAAAAAGCCTTTTTTCGTATCACTTTCTGAAAACACGTGTTAACTCGTGAATTTTAAATATTTTTCAATAATTTTAATTTACGCGATAGCCACGCAAATAAACTTTAAGAAAATATTTTATTCTTTAATTTCTAGCTATTGGTTTTCGAGATATCGTGTCAACCGTTTGGTCATCTCATTTTTTCAACTCTGCGTCTTTGAACTAATTTCTTGGAATTTTGGAATGAAAATATTGCTGTAAAAATTTTTTCATATATTGACATGTGTATTAATAAGTATGTGAAAAATTATAATTGTACGCCTTGTAGTTTTCGTTAAGAAAAATTCCAAAGAAGGTCTTATTTTTATTGCGATTACTAGAATGTACCCTTAACCAGCGTACCACAAAGTGAAGATAATTAAATTTGATTAGATGAATTTTAATAAATTTTATAATCGCAAGTTAACGATTAAAAGTAAATAAGATTTATTTATTGTTAATATTTCATTCCGTTTACAAATATTAAAGTAACCATTGGTTTAATAAAATTTGTGTTATCATACGTATATTTTCAACAATTCTGTATATTTAATCTCGTATTATTAATTTTTTAATTATGCTATTACGTAATAATATCATTTTTGTTATATTTTAAACTGCATTGATAATTGTACCTTGTTAAATATACCAAAAAATTACTCGTTAATTGGATAAATTTTTCGATAACTATATCCGCAGAATATTTCGTTGATCAAATATGTCTCTCTGTTAATTATTGGGGCATTTCGATTTATGCATAATGTTCCTTGTTTCATCAAATGTAAACAAGGATAAATGATGCATCATGCGTATTATGTACTCATGATCTATGAGGTACTTACAAAGCAGTATGTAACGTTGAAAAATTCAAATTAATCCTGTCGCTATAACTTTCAAAATTTCAATACGTTTTTCTCAAAATTATATTGACAACGGAAAGAGAAAACGTTTTTTCATCAACCATGATATATACCATTTTGTTCCAATTCACTACAGAAAACAACACGACGACAAAAGACAATACAGCATATTCGCCCGATTTGTGTCGACTGATACAATAATTGGACTGCTATAATGTGCTGAAATTAAAATTAATCATGATTCTGTTGCTGCTTGTTGAAAAGGAGAACGATCCCAACCAAACTGAAAAATATTAAATAAATCTAAATAATATAATACTTATAATATAATTCTAGTTTTAGATATAAAATCTCGATTATATTGTCATAACAACCAGAAATTCTTTCTGATAATTATGATAAAATACGAGATTTTGTTTTAAATATTATGCTTGTAATTATATACGCGCACGCGAATCTTATTCATATCAAACCATAATCAAACAAAATTTCTCATGCATTACTGCGAGATTAGAAGGTCTGTTATATACCTGCGAAAGAGTTATCCTAATGGATAAAATTGTGCCATACGTCTGAAAGAAAATATACTATCATTATACTTAATGAAAACAGTTATGTTAACCTTTCGCTCAGAAAGCGGGCGGTCCGTCGGAATACCGCCATTGATCGGGATCCCGCGCCAAAAGTGTACACATTATATGTGGACAGTTTTTGGCGTTTAAACTGTCATTTTATGCCCGAATACCATGAACAACGCCACTTTGACATATTTTTGAAAAAAAAGGATTGTTCCTTAAAACAAGATAATTATAATTTCTTTGTAAACCGTTTTTTAATTATCTCTTTCATGCTAGTCGCATTATAGGTATATGTATCAGTATACTACCGCTATTAATTATGTTTAAATATACATCATTTGATAAAATCAGTGTTAACAACATTTGGTAAATAGTTGTACAAAATGGTTTGACGTAACTCTTGCTATAAGGAACACTATAAATTACTTCGCGAATGCTGGCCGTAGACAGCGTTCGTTTATACGGATCGCTTCGTGGATGCCGAACATAGCAAGCGTTAGGAGAGAAAAGGTTAAATTTGAAAGAATTAATTATAAAGGAGATCTTGAATACGTTCTATTTTATATATAGAAAAGGCCCCCTATTATGAGATAGGCGGTTAATATGAGATAGCGGCGTTTCTGCTAAATTAATAAACGCTATTAGTTCCACCATGAGTTTATTGCTCTTGGATTGAAAAGTATTTAGAAAATTCATTATTAGATTATGCCTATAGTCATTGTAAAATAAGATTTTAGAATTTGGATGTCTTTAAGTTACATTGAGATGAGCATTTTAAAATTGTTTATTATTTAATAAATAAATATTTGGAAATAAATTTTTCATGTGATGATAGAGTAAGGTCGTACTAATAGAAAAATATTGGATATATTGAATTGTTTCAGATAAATTTTATCTGCAATAAATAGATATCTGCAATAAATCAGCCTAATTTAAAAAATTTAAAAAAGGGAACAGAAAACTTACGTCCACATCGTTGTTCCTGGGTTACGCTAAAAGTAGTTTCTTGAGAAGTAATTAATGAGTAATTACAAATAATGAGAAGTTTTAAGACTAATTCCGAGTATTAACAATGAAAACGTGGTATTTTTATTGTTAATGTATTGCAGAATCGTAAGTATGGGTTCTCAGTAAGAGAAATCGAAGAAATTGAATTTCGTCGATTACAGCGCCATCTATCATGAATCGAGAAAAATGTTTCAGACAAATCGTATGTGCTTTTAGCCAAAGATTCCGAATATGCAATAAAAAATAGGGGTTCCCATTTAAGATTTCAAACTTGTCCCCCCTCACCGCCCAGGGGGCGAGGTGAGGGGGCTGATTTTAACGACAGTGTACGTCACCCTCGGAATGATGAAATATTGATTCTTAACATTTTTTCTTAGTGTGCTTATTTTTCGAAATATTTGAAAGTTTCAGATTAAAAAAATCACCCTGTATATTCAGGGATGGGAAGTAATTCGTTACTTGTAACGAAATTACAATTAGAGTTACTTTTTTCCAGTAACTGTAACTTAACTTCGTTACTTTCTTTCCATCTGTAATTATGACTTAGTTACATCTTTTAAGTAACTAGTAACTAATTTAATAGTTACTTTCATAGTTATTTTATACATTTTAAACTCATTTGTCAATTTAGTGTGCAGTAGTGTCCTTGAGGCTACAAATACTTCGAAACATTTGATTAATCAGAAGAAAGAAATTTAATTATAGCGTTCAATCAACTCTTGTACCTGTTTGGTTTATATTTTGGGATCTAATGAAATCCGCCAATCAAATACAAGAGCGCTCAGTGAACAGTTGTAAACCATTTTGGATTAATGCTGGAATTTATTTGCAACTTTTAGCCGAATATAAAAAGAATTTTTTTTACAAAAAGCATTGTATATGTGTGTGTGCTATTTCATATTCATATTCATATGTGTTTATATTACTTTAAGAAAAACGTCTTTACCATACAATTTTTTTATCTTTTTGAATAAAATCGTATAACATGTTAGTATAAGCCAGTCTTTTTTTTTTAATTGTCTTAGGCTGCATTACTTTGATGATTCCGTGTATCATCCTTGTTTAATATTAGGTGAAAAACAAGGGTAAAACGATACATGAAGGCAACGTTTCTGGATACAGCCCTAATGGTATCGATACTACTAGTAAAAGTTCCGATGAAAAAAGTAACTTAAAAGTAACTTAAAGTTACTTTTTCGGTAATTGTAACTGTAACAAATTACTTTTCAGAGTCAATAACTTGTAACAGTAATTAATTACTTTTTGAAAGAGAAATCTGTAACTGTAATTAATTACTTTTACAAAGTAATTTCCTATCCTTGTATACGAGGTCTGTTCAAAAAGTATCGCGAATTTTGAATTTCCGCGGGTTACGTATATTCGATTTTCGATTTTTTTGTGGCGTTATGTTGGTACTCATGTCTCTCACTTATGCCGACAAGTTCGGCCATTTTGAATGTTCAGTTAATTTTTGACAGCTGCTTTGCTTGCACGTGTTTTGGTTCGTCTTCGATTTTTGCCTATTCCAAAAAATGGATCAAAGAATCTGTATCAAATTTTGTGTGAAAAACAAAATTAAGTGCGCGGACGCATTCCGAATGTTGACTGTGGCATATGGTGAAGCTACCTTGGACCGAAGCAACGTTTATCGGTGGTACAAAATGTTCTCAGAGGGCCGAGAAGATGTGAACGACGAAGAGCGTGCCGGACGCCCGAGCACGTCAACAACAGACGAAAACATTGATGAAGTGAAGAAAATAGTATTGGCCAATCGTCGAATCACCGTCAGAGAAGTTGCTGAGGACCTAAACATATCGATTGGCTCGTGCCATTCGATTTTTACCAATGATTTGTGGAAGAACAAAAATTGGCTTTTGCACCATGATAACGCCCCTGCTCACACATCGTTGCTTGTGCGTGAATTTTTGGCCAAAAACAACACACTAATGATGCCGCAGCCACCGTATTCCCCAGATCTGGCCCCCTATGACTTTTTCTTGTTCCCGAAGCTGAAGAGACCCATGAAAGGACGACGCTACGCTACGATTGAGGAGATAAAGACGGCATCGAAGGAGGAGTTGAACAAGATCACAAAAAATGATTTTTTGAAGTGCTTCGAGGATTGGAGAAAACGTTGGCACAAGTGTATAATATCTGATGGGGATTACTTTGAAAAGGGGACAAAATAGATATTCATGAATAAATAAATAATTTTTGAAAAAACACAAAATTCGCGATACTTTTTGAACAGACCTCGTATATTGTATGTATATATATGTATATACATTTATTATACACTTTTATAGTTTTATTTAAAATAGGACATACTCAGCAGATAAAATCATATCCATAGTAGAAATGTCCCAAGCCAAATTTTACCTCTCTCTGTTTTATTTGCAATATAAACTGCCAAATCTAATTGAAATAAATAATTTAATAAGCGTTAAATATATACTACCATTCTTGACAGTTCGGAAACTTGTATAAATTTTATCAAATGGATGAGTAAATTTAAGACATTATTATAATATAATATAAAACATCAATTATGTTACTTTATCGCAGACATTAAAGACCAACCCTATTCCTTACGTTTAATGACATTTTTGTTATTTTTAGCTTCAATATGTGTCAAAATCAATCCATTTTTTAGTTTCAAAGTAAAGCGTTCACATTAATGTACGAGAACTTAGTAAATAATAAATTAAATTTGAGTTCAATTTAATACATTTTCCAGTGTTAAGTTATTTAACTACAATTTTTAACGACATATCCGGTAAAAAATTTTTCATGCGTGAATATGTATAAATAAGAATAAACTTACATAAACACTCATAAATATTCATAAACATATATAATTATGTATGATGTATATCCATAAATGTTCATATGTTTCCTCTTTCGTTTGTAAAATTACTTGTTAGTGTAATAGAAATAATAATAGTAATACGAAAACATTAAAAATAATTCAAAAGGTAATTTTCGCACTATTTGTTTTAGAAAAAATCAAGTTTGGAGAAATGTAAAAAAATTACTTATGTATAATCATATATAAAATTATGCATAATTATGTATGAGCAATTTTTTAAATATTTTTTTGAACTTGTTTTTTTCTAAAATAAACGATACAAAAATTATCCCTTTAATTATTTTTTGTGTTTTCGTAGTTACTTTACTACTATTATTTCTATTACACTAAAACGTAATTTTACAAAAGAAAGAAGGATGTATGAACATGTATCGACATATTTCATATATAATTATACATGTCTATGAATATTTATGTGTGTTTATGTATGTTTATACATATTAATACATACTCATGCATGAAGAATTTTTTACAGTGTATTGAGTAGAAGCAAGGTCGACATATAGAAATGGTTAAAAAATAAATAACTAAAAATGAATATAATAAAACACTATGAATTTATTAGGTGTTGAACTTAATTCCTATCGCTCGCTATTAGAGAGCTTTGCCTCCAACGCTGACGAGTTTCGACGATGAATTCACATGTCTTTTGTAGTTTAGACATCGCTGAAAGTGATTCAATCCTCACAGATTAGATTTCTCGACGCCAAAGAGATTTTCCAATCGATTGAAAATGAATCGCGATAAGCTGTTTTTCCGACATGTGCTTTTTCACTACTTCGACTTCAAGAAAACCGCAGCTGAAGCGCATCGCTTATTATCTGAAGTGTATGGTGATGAAACTCCATCGGAACCAATATGTAGAGTTTGATTTCAACGCTTCCGAAACGGTGATTTTGATGAGAGACAAAGAACGTCCAGGACAGTCGAAAAAATTTGAAGATATATGCCATAAGGAAGGCAGATCTCTACCACATGAGTTGTCAGAAAGTGCCATTTCGAATCGTTTGACTATTGCGACTTCTTTGCTTGCCAGGCAAAGAAAAAAGAGTTTTTTGTAATGCATCATGAACTGGCGATGAAAAATGGATTTATTTTGATAATCCCAAGCGGAAAAAATCATGGGTGGACCCCGGCCAATCATCCGCTTCAACGCCGAAGAGGAATATTCACGGGCATAAGATCTTGCTGTGCGTTTGGTGGGATCGGGAAGGTGTGCTGTATTACGAACTCTTGGGTCTAAATGAAACCGTTACAGCTAATCGCTACAAACAGCAATTATACCGATTGAGTGACGAATTGATGCAAAAAAGATCATCCGTAGCCAACAATCGAC